AAAGCTATGTGCAATCTTAAGTTGAAACTATTACTGAAGTAGTGTCAGGAACTGTGTAGCCTGTGTGTGTTGATCTCAGTTTTAATAAGACTATGGTAAACATGTGAGAAATGGGAGATCAACTTACATTTATATTCAGCTGTTCTTGTGTAAATTCAGTGGTTGTTGTAGCAAAATACTGTCTGCTTCAGACTGGAATGCGCAGTGGAAATTTTTTTTTTCTCCCGATGAGTATAGGAAATAAAAAAAACCCTGTACTTTCAAGTTTGATCTGTTCAGCGCTCTAAAAATGCATATTTGGACCCATATTCCTTCTTGAGCCGCATCTGAACTTGATGTAACAAGCTGGAACTCTAAAAATGGCAGAAGACATGAGGGGAAGAAAGCATGTTAGAGTCCACTGTCTGTATTATTCATTAATTAGAGATTACAGATACTTTATTAAGCCTATAAAATGAATACTGTTCATTGTGCCTGGTTTTATGAAGTATTTTAATAGTCCTGAAAATATTGACTTTGCGCTCTATGACCCTAGGACTGACTGCAAATGGAGCAAGCAGAAAACTTTGTTTGTATTAAAAGTAGTAGTGAAGTGTGTGGGAGGTAGAATTGAAAGAAAAGAAGGGGAGCCCCTCTTGAACAAAGACTTGCTAGAGTAAGCAGCTCTTCCATAAAAGGTTTTCATGGATAGGTTTGGACAATTTTTTGGTTTTTTTTTAAAGCTAATTTTAAAAGGTTGTATTTAAGGGCATTGTGCTTGGAAGACTCACAGCTGGCTGAAGTCTCAGCTTAGTTTCTCTTTAGATTAGTGCTGCTTAGCTGATTCCCTGGTACCTGCAGTCAAGAGGGTTAATCTTGAATATACTTTAAATCTACATTTTCACAGTTTTATGCTTTTTATAATAATATTTCTACTTTTGAAATCAAGAATTGGATACTGGGCTGTGCTAGAATATATGTTTTCATGCTTACCTTGTCTTTTATTAAGAGGGTTTAAGCTAATCTTTCACAACACAGGTTTCAGTGATTAAACTACTGTGATTAAAGGAATATTGCAGGTAAATGGTTTTGGTATCAGCAATGCAAGGCAAGTTTGGGATTCTGAGGGTTTGTGCTTTCCTGCCAAAATACATGTGAATCAGGTGGAGGTTTGGCATTCCCTTGGATAGGGTATGAAGAGAAATTTTCTTTGGCAAGAAACAAGTGATGAAACCCATGTTGGAAAGCTCAACACTAGTGCAGCAATCAATTATAAAACCAGATTTATATGAAAACTAAGGATTTCAGCTTTGTGGTGTTGGGCTTGGGTTTTAATTGCTAACATGAAACAGTGGTATGTGAAACAATGAGCTTAGTGCTAGGATTAACAAAACTTTTGTGCTGGTTCTTGTCTTCTCGAACTTGGTATCTGTTAGTCCCTTTTTATTACAATGCAGAAGCAACACAAAAACTTGTCTTTGTGCCTAGGTTAGTGCTCGCTGTGTGCACTATTAGGTGACTGCTGTGGTGTGGAGAGTAGGTGTATTGGGCAGAACTATTGAACTTAAAGTACCTGTGGCAAAATCATAGTCTTAAATGTAGGAATTTAGAAATGGTTCACCTTTTTCAGGTGCTGATTAATAACTAAGTGAATAATTCAATGTCTAACAGTGTTGTTGTTTAAATATTGTTTCATTAGAGAGCTTTCAAAAGTTAAATTCACTCATAATAAATTATGATAGCCATTGTCTTGACTAGCAGGTTTAGAAGATCCATGCTATGACTGATGGATCAGAAAAACTGCTATTTTATTGGAGTGGAGAACAGGGATTTAAAAAAAAAAGCTTCCACTGAAGCTTATGTTTGTTAGAAATAAGACCTCTATTTTTTTCAAAGTCACTTGATCTTTCGACGAAGATAAGTCTTTTGAACAGTACCATGCCTTTTTGTTCAAAACAATTTCTCCACTTAAGAAATTAAAAAAATATCCTTCCACTGAAGCTTATGTTTGTTAGAAATAAGACCTCTATTTTTTTCAAAGTCACTTGATCTTTTGACAAAGATCAAGTCTTTTGAACAGTAACATGCCTTTTTGTTCAAAACAATTTCTCCACTTAAGAAATTCAGACATACAACTTAAGGAAAGCATGGAAGTCTCAAAGCAGGAAACAATATGGTGGTTTTTTATTACCTTTAAGTTTTGTTATTACTTTGCAGAAGTATTTTTTTTGTGAAGATCTTATAGACGATGTTATTTGTAGAAAGATTTGATTAGCACTGTCACTGGAGAGTTTACCCATTTGCATGCCCCCAAAAGAAAGGGAAATTATGAGAGAGGGATTTTAATATATTTTGGGTGGGAGAGAGACATGGTATGTAATGGGAAATAGCTGACAAAATTATTATTGAAGCTTTACCTTGCAAAATCCTAATTTCATGTTTACAGAATAGCCCTGCAACGATCATCTCTTCTACTCTTCTTTTAGGTCAGTTTGAAAAGGGCTTCAGGGGCTTTATTAATTTTTTTTTTCTTGTATTTATTCTTTATTCTTCTTTAAATTCCTCAGACATATTCTCACTTTCTAAATTGGTGATTAGACGAATTGTTTCAGGTAGACAATCGTAAGACACATTTCTGCATTTTTGAATATGTAATGTTATACATGATGCCTCAGTCATTTAAAACTGTTCTTCTAAATGCAGGACAATTGTTAGAAATAAAGATTCTCTATTCTGGCTTTACAGACATATTTCGTATTTCTTACTATGTCCAGGTATTCTACAGAGATAATAATATTCATTAGTATTATAATTGTCATAACACATCTGTAAAATCCTAGTTTATTATTCCATTAACCAGATAGCTTTCCACTCACGCCAACAAAACTGGTTTATATTTAATTATGTTATGCTAATATTATGTCTTAATCAAAGAGACACACAGAGTCTTTTTATGACCGCTGGGTCTGAAATCCACACACTGAGTATTGCTTCATTTATTCTAGGATGGTGGGGATGTGCACTGAACATGTGGGAAAAAGAAAAGCAGTTTTGTTTTGCTTTCTTCATTGTGTTGATGTGTTTATCTCTAAACCGGTCTTCATTCAATGTTTGACAAAGATGTTTTCACTGAGTTTGACATATTGTTTAGCTTCAGCTTGGCCCCTCAGCTGCTGCTCATCTGAACTGAATGTTGCCTAAATAAATGCGATTTTGCCACTATAGAGAAAATGGCCAGTGAACTAGGTTGAGGGCAGGGGACTGTTGCAGCAAGAAGGAAAAAGAGCTGTTTCTAATCTGAAGGCACGTACTGGTGGAAGCATCAGTATTATCCAAGATGAATGAAAGTTATGCAGAGACTTGACAGTTGAAAAGAATGCTTTTAGATATTGTCTGCTCTAGTCATGCAAGTTTATTTTAAAATTTTATTCTAACCTTTTTTTTTTTTCCTAAACATTTTATTAAATTTTCAGTTAATGTAAAACTTGGGGAAAAATAAATTGCTAGAGAGAAATTTCTTTCTAATGTTTTGAAGAACTCTCCCTAGCAAATGTTGCTTCCTTCTAAATTATCAGTGCTGAACCTTCTGCAGAAATCTCAAATTTGAAAAAAAAGTCTAATTTTTTTTTTAGCTTTCTGTTACCGTGGTCATTCACAGGTACTCTCTTGCTGGTTTCAAGAAGCTGTCTTACAAAGAGATAGTCCACATAAAAAGTCATACTTGTTGAATTAGGTTATTGAAAGGCTTTGATTAACAGACTTTTTAATCAAGTGTTGGAGAAGTTCCACAGATGCTGAAGGATGGTGGTTGAAGAAACATTCTTTAGGCTACAGTTTCCACTTTCCCCCATAGAGTTCAACCTCAGCTCATTAATTCTCAATGGGCAAGTCAACCGTGAACATGTACCTTGCTGCAGTTCTAGGTAGTTCGTAAGGACTAATTAAGTAAATTTAATGGTACAAGAGTCTAGAAGTTAACCAGCTTTTTTTCGACGGAGATACGGAAATTCAAGACTTCTCTAACCTGTATTTTACATCTATAAATGTTTTGTCTCAGTAGTTAATTATAAAATTCTAGAAACCTTGTTATTAAATTAAAATCAGGCTATTGTCCTTAATAGTTTTCTTTTATTTTGCACTACTAGATGTTGACTGAAGAGCTTTGATATAAAAACGTAACTGCCTTTAACAAACTTCTTACTATATATAAACTTAAAATGCTAGATTTTAATGGTGATGTTAGTTCAGTTTCCATAGTCAGGTGCCAGTCTACAGCCAATTGATTGACCACTTTTATATGGCCATCTCTGAATATTTTCATTAACAATCAGAGATGAAGCATAATATCCAGTACAGTGTAATTCTTGTAATCATCCAGAGGCCATGTATTAGCTGAAATGATGAAAGTCGGAGGGAAAAAGTATCAAAACAAGAAAGAGAACTCCATATGAAACTCATCGCCTTACTGGGTTTGTTTGAGTACAAACCTCCTTTTGGCTAAAACTCTTAACTCTGGTTGCTACACATTCTGCATCGTCATGTTTCTAAGCATAGTTCCAATATAAAGATTATTTAGTATCTTTAATGAGACATGCAGAAGACTCAGTTTTTCTTGTGATGGGACACTGTGTCACGTCTTATCCTAAAAATTCTGTGGAGGTGTGGTTCCGATGTGATTCATGTAGATTCTTTTGTGTGATCTTGAAAGTTAGTATGTAAAGACTGGTCATAGCACTCTCAAGTAGCGTGTTTATTTTTGTTCCTGTAGTATTTCAATTACTGATGCATTGGGATGCATCTTGTTCCTTATGTGATACAGAAAGGACCAAATCTATTAGAACTTGAGTGTTTTGTGTCTAATGTATGCTATTTTAAAAGTACATTGAGTTTTATTCTGTTTGCCATAGGCAAGTTTTAATGTCTGCTAGATGTGTGATCCATTAGGTTGTACTAGGAGGTTGCAATATGAGTTAGTTAAACTATTACTTGAATATTACTTAAATAACTCTGTTTTGTTGTAGCTGAAAAAGAAAACTAAGACATTCAATCCTCCAATCCGTAGAAACTGGGAAAGTAATTACTTTGGGATGCCCCTACAGGATCTGGTTACGTCTGAGAAACCGATACCTCTGTTTGTTGAAAAATGTGTGCAATTCATTGAAGATACAGGTAAGATAGGAGAACTGTTGGGACGAAAGACATTCCCACTTTGAGTAATGAGTAAAGCCTCTCATTTTCTGTTTTAAAGTGCTTCTGGAATTTCATCCTTGAAATAATTGCAAGAAAAGCACATTTTAAAAGTAGAATATGTTCTCTAAATTGTATGCTTAATATGTGATGGTCTTTCATTTCTGTTTACACAAATATTTAATTTCCTTTTGACAAACATTTGAAGTTTAATGTTTGTTTCCTGAAATGTAAAAAAAACCATGTATCGTTTTCTAATGCCAAATAACTTTTAACACATTTTAAAAGTAGAATATGTTCTCTAAATTGTATGCTTAATATGTGATGGTCTTTCATTTTTGTTTACACAAATATTTAATTTCCTTTTGACAAACATTTGAAGTTTAATGTTTGTTTCCTGAAATGTAAAAAACCCATGTATCGTTTTCTAATGCCAAATGACTTTTAACCCAATGGCATTCCAGTCTTACATGTCTCGCTGTTGTCACTGTGTTTTACTTCATATGTTAAAAACTTCTGAAATACACTTTTTCCATTTCCCGAAAACAGGTACTTGTCATCAGTCAGCTTGCTTGCCTTATTTTGCTGCTACACCTAGTTTTACATTTTAACTTGTTAGAGCGACAGAAAAATTTCTGAATACTGTGTAATTATACATGAAAATGTTAAGCAATTTGTTTAACTTGCAGATGTCCAGTTTAATGTAAAATTTTAACATATATTTGTTTGCAGTAGGGTGAAATTCCACAATATAGTTTTTACTGTCTCTCTCCTTGCTCCCTGATTGTGTGTTCGGCCGTGCTTTCAGCCTGTTCACTGTGTGACCATGAGACAAGTACGATGATCTTGCTGGTCTGGCAGAAAACTACAATTAGGAGTGGGGAGTTGTTTTGAGGTTTGAGAGCGACCCGTGGTTGGGGTTTGTTTGGGTTTTTTTTGTTGTTTTGTGTTTAGAGATGAGGAGCACCTGTTTTTTGTTAGTGTGTTTGCTCTGAAGTTGCATGAATGCTGTGCTGCCGTATCTGAAGCAAAGGAAGTGTAAAACTGACTGACTGGAGCTGAAACACCAGCAGGACCCTCTTCTGATGGGTATCTGCAGTTGGACACTGATCAGTGTGAAGTAAACCAGTGCCTTTCTTCAACATTTTCTTGGTTCTGTAGTACAATTTTGGTTGTAAGATGACAGTAGCAGTTTTAGCAAGAGTGAAACTGGAATGTTTTCTTTCTTAAACTAAAATTCAGTTTTACTGCCATCTCTAAGAGTAGTGTTTCCAACACAACTGCTACAGGTGGTAAGACTAGTAGCTGGTTTTGAAGACTATATACTGCATTATTGCAATCAAAAAATTAGGTGAAACCTCAGGCACAGATCTTTTGGGAGTTAGAGATGTTGGTATAAATCTGCGTTTAACCTTTACCTCCTATTGATTTCTTGCCTAAAGTGAAGACCTGTATTCTCCTTCCTTCTTGCTTCTTCTTTTCCCACCTCACCTAGGAAAAAAATGGAGAAAGAGGAAGGGCAAGGAGTAAGAGTGGTATAGGCAGTTTAATAGATATTTTGTTTGCTGTAGTATGTAGCAAAGAAAAAACCCTGAAAAAACAAACCAACATAGTTTTATGGGTAAGTCACCTGTGTGAATTTGTGTTCTTTAAAAATGGCTACATACAGCTACTATATATAGCTATATAAACCAGACATTCGCCAGTAATGGAGACCAAATGAATTTTTGAAGAGTTTGTGGTGTCTAGAAGTAATATCTTAAATCTGAGCGTGTTTAACTTCGTAAGAATACTTTCTAACAACAAAATCGTAAATCCAGATCTAAAGAAAATTGTATTTGTTTAAGAGTAGGGTTTTCTGGTATTTGCTGACTTTGTGGTAGTATTTCTCCTAATGGATTTTCCCCAGCTTTTGGGCTGACAGAGGGAACTGTAATAGTGTGGGGCATGGCTGGTTGGTTTTTTTCCCCTTCATAATCATCAAATAACAAGCACGAAAATTTAATACTTCTTTTCTCCTCTGTTGACCTGTCTTTGAAGAATGTTTAGTTAAGTTGGTGATGTTTTAAAAATGTGAGGGGCTTCTCAAAAGTGACAAAGTTTCCTTTATCTGATTGAGCGTATGTTAGTTCGTCCTGGGCTGCTGTTGTGCAGCTGCTGAAAGCTGGAGAGTTTGTATTCTGGCCGTATGTGTAAACTGGACGACCGTTGGGCCCTCCGCACACTTTGTTTGTGGCTGTGAAAACAGCAGTTGCCCTGCTGTTTCTGTTCAACAGTTAGTAACTAAGGCGGAACAAAACCTCTACTTTTGATCCGTATTACAGGTTGTTTGTTTGGGGTTTTTTTTTTCCCCTCCTACTCTGGATTCTGTGTAAGTAGCTTTGGTTGTTCTTTTCAACTTCAATACTTGGCTATGGAGTTTTAGTGTGTATTATTTTTATATTGGGTTAATATTCTGTGGGTATTGAGTTTCAAAAAGTATTCTAGTAGAAGATACTTTGAGAGGAGGGTATTCACTTGCCTTGCCTTCAAATCCTGTACTGAGACTCACCTCACCGGCTTTGGGACTGTCTGAAAGATAATTCCAGGTGATCAGTCTGCAGGAGGTGAGTTGGGATCTGTTGGCTTCAGGCTGGAGTCCAGAAGGGTACCATGTCCATTTGATAAAGCTGTTGTATCCATTGCCCCTGGGGAGTCATCCAGTACTTAAGCTGTCTCTTAGCAAGTCAGCCTCCTGTCAGTACTAAGTGAACTGAATACTAGTGTTTATTATCATTGTCTTTTTACTGAAGAAGCTCAGTCTTTTCCAACCTTTGAATGAGGCTAATTAGTGTATTCCTCTTACAGAGGACATAACTTGTTTAGCTTTTCTGTTTTAAGGTACTTCCATGGTGTTCAGCTCCTTCTCTTTGTATTACCACATGTAATTTGCGTTGTGGCTGAATTGCAGGGTTTTTTTGTGAAGATATGATTAATTTCAAATTGAAGTGCTAATCTTAATTTTTAATGTTCTCTATCTCTGCCTCATGAAATTATACAAGGCAGTGCTTTCTACTCACTAATCTAAATTGTGACTGAGGCTAGAAAGCACACAGTGTGAAAAGCAGTTTTCTCTGCTTTGTTTTGGATGCTTAGATGAGAAGATAATATCAGAAAGTGTCTTTGAAGATTCTTGCTCCAGCATAAACCTTCAAGAATTGAGCACATGCAGAAAATATCATTAGATTTTTGTTTTACTATATTGTTCTGGAATATCCTCATCAGAAGATCATCTTGGAAAAAAATGAATTGAATCCAGGAGCTGAAAAGTTATAGCCTTTTATAAATCAACAGATTTTTCTTTCAAAGAAGCCATATGGATTCTGTCAGGGTAGAAGGAGATCTGGTAGAGATAAGGGATCCTAAGTCAGGGCCTACAGATGTAGGTATTTTCTGTGTGTTCCTATTTAGTTTGATATTTTCCAATAAGAAGTTTTATTCTAAGCTGATCTAGCTTTCTGGAGCCAACTAACGTCTGTTTTTGAAAAAGAACCTAGGGCTTGAATCCCTTTGGAATCTCTTTTGGTAGTATTGGAAGTAGAAACTGAGGGAGCGAAGTGGTTAATACTTGAGCAGATCGAAACCTAATAAGCAGTAAGTACGCATCAGGATCTCGCGTTTCAGCAGCAGGGTGTATTGTTGCTGATACCAACAGTACGTAGCAGTAATAGCATATAATTCTTTGTCTTGTTGGAACCTATTGATTGAAAAACACCTGTACAATTCCATCTAAGATTATCTTAAATGTACTGTCACTTCTGGATGAGGGATGAGGAAAGCTTGGCTAAATGTCATAAGCAAACTTTGCTTGAGTGTTTGCACGTGATTATAGGAGAACCTTTTCTCCATCCAAGCCTTTCAGTTTTAGATTCATTTTAGTTGTAGCAGGATGAGTAATCTTTTGGTTGGCTGTAAGCGCTCTGTCTTGTTGGTTCATTGAACAAGATGATGAAAAGAACTTCATCTTTCAGGTAAGTAACTTGATAATAGTAAATTGCCAAATTTCATGCTACATCTCGTAGTATAAATGTATAAAGTTTTCAGGACAACTTTCTAGTGAAGATATTGTGATTTTATCAATAACTTTACAGACTGTAGAAATACTTTTCTATCGTTAGTGACATAGCATGATCTATAAGCTGCTGGAGCTTGGGTTTTTTTAATCCAGTCACATTTTTTGCAAATCTTGAGCGGGGCTGCTCTAATGAACTTTTTTGACATTGATAGTTATTTCTGGTTACAGGCTTCCGAAAGAACATTTTGATGATACAGTTGTTTTGGTGTATTTTTTTTGCTTTTTCCTGATGGACTGAATGGAAGGTCATTTTATTACATCCCTTGAAATGGACTTCTAAAGTATATCGGTTTTCTGCAAACTTAGATTTAAGGGAATATATTTAGTAGGGCAACTAGAGTTGAGTTTTGATTTTTAAGAAAATTGTATTAGCTGGTTTTGTGTAGAAGTAGTAGTGCTGTGTTAAGATGCCTCAGGAAAAAAAAGAGCTGCTAATTTAAAAAAAAAATAAATTCAATGTAGACCATTGTCTTTTGTAGTACAGCTCATTTTTCCTAAATATAGGCAGGAGAATTGAGTTAATTTTTGCAGCTAAATTATTTAACTTGATTAATAGTGTAAATTCGGTAATAATTGTTGGGGAGAGAGTAAGGAGGGTGTTCTGATACTCTGATAGATTTATTTGAGGGAGAGAAACGCAGATTTCTGAAGGGTAATTTAATGTTAAACTTCAATGAAATGTTGGTATGCTTTGAATTTTATGTTGCAATACCACATGAAAATACCTACTGAATGTTGTAGTTTTTTTAAGAGTGAAAAGTTTACATGTTTGTTTGTAACTTGAATATTTTAACATTTTCATGCTATTTTACATACTGTTGATTTAGTTTCAAGTACGGTTTGTGTGCTATTCAGCACGTACTTTTGT